TTTGAGGACTATATTTTTTAAACGTAAATACGAACATATTACGAACGTGTTCATCGAATATAATATTCACACCGTTTTTGATTAATTTTTTATTCAGATTTTTCACGAAATCTTTCGACAACTAAGAAATGAGTCACCTTTGAAATTCTTGATTAGAGATAAAACTTCAACCATGAAAACGCGATCTAAACCTAAGGGTTTGTTAATTTTGCCAGCTCTTAGGACTACGAAAATGAAAAATTCTGTTTCTTTGAAAGTCATCAATGCGTATAATTTTTTGATTGACATCAAACTAATCCCTAATAACCTTAACGTAATGACTGAAGTTGGGTTGAAGTCTTTCTTTAAAAAATTCAGTAGGCTTTACAATAGACAATGAAAGTATGTTTTCGCTGTTTTACCATCGGTAACTCCTAATTTCAGTGCCCTACCGCTTGTTTCTAGGTAACCTAAAGGGATGCTACTGGAAAGGTTGAATTACCTGTATAGCAGTCCTGATGTAGATTTATTTAACCTGTTTGATCAAAATGATGTGTGTCAAAATTTTATCTGCATCAAATTCAAATTCAAATCAGCTACTTCTCCAAGTATCATAAAAATCGTTTTCTGTCAAATAAAAGTGAGGCAAAGCATGGTCTGACATGCAAATAAATGTTTTGAAATTCATCAAAGAAGGAAAAATTGCTAGCGTTAACTTCGAGGTCTATTGAATCCCAGGCGTAACAATGTACGTATGAATCGCCCAGTTTGACCGAAGTCACTATCTTAAAATTTATCTCTCAAGATTTTTACATTCTACAGTTTTGGCTCTCACTAGACTTGAGTAGTATTCTGAACCATTTATGTCTTCTTCAGTGACCTTGAAAACAGTTCATAACTAGAAAAAATTAATCAAAAGATGAAAGTAAAAAAGTCAAAACTGCTAATAGATTTCATCAGAAGTGCTAGTATAAAATTTTTTTGTATAATGGTCTACCATGGTAAAGTTGTTTTGCCTTTTTCTTGAAATGAGCACCGCCCTTGAAAAGCGCTCAAGGTTTCTCCGTGATTATTTGGTCTCAAAAAAGGATATTTGGACCTTTTATTCTTGCCAACAGAATCATTATTTTTTTGATGCCATTTTCAAAAGCATTAATTGGAGCTCAAATAACTTTGATAATTTGAATAAGTCATTCGAATCTATCTGATTTGACTCGTAATACCTGAACTTGTGGCAAATCACTTAACCAAATACAAGCATGTATCTTACTTCCAGTGATCAGAACCAACAAGAACCGACTGTAATAAAAAAAGAAACTGGAAAAAAATATTTAATTGAAAATAGCATAAAACTTTAAAAAGCTTTTTGTCAATTTTTTGAGGGAATAGACACTAAAATTGAAAAACCATATTCCAATAGTTTAACTAATGTAAATGTTTTTTTTTAATTTGCTCAAAAAATGGAGCAAGCTTTTTGACAATTTTGCAATTGTTACCTGCGAAATCTGCCATTGTTTGCAGTAACTGATTTTTCGTACAAAAATGCACACAAAAACATTTTTTCAAGTTATAGATCAAGTTGATGTCAGCAGTAGCTTTTTGTACTCGTCTGAAGAGGCGGTCTGGCTGGTCGACGAGGCGATTTTTCTTGGGATAATTGTTTTGTTTTGCTGAGCAAGGCCAAATAGTTGAAGTTGATTGTCTTCGAGGTTACAGCTGTCTCATCTACTAGTAGTTTTGATCTAGCCTGGCTCATTCCTGTCAACGCTGCGGTAACTGGACCTAAACTCGACTGATGCGAAGCAACGAAAAAGAGCGGTGGTTAAACTTTTTCATTAGGTGTAACTAAATAAATACAAGTAAACCTGAATTACTTTCTCAAAAATCTTTTAAAGTAATCCAATACCTACAACAGTTGAAAAAATAATCAATCGAACACATTAAATACGTCCTGAAACTTATCTTATAAGAATCTTACAACTTTCTAGATTTTTAGCTCTCATTCGACTCAAAAAATATTTTGAAGCATTTGTTTGTAAGAAACGAATCATAACATAATTGTAAAATAGGCAAAATTACTATTAAATATTATTAGAAAAACTGAGATAGCAGATATCTTATAATGGTCAAGCTGGATACATTTTTAGCCTTGTTTTTGCAAAAGTACTGGTTGTGACAAGCACTTTGTGTCCTCTGAGTCTCATAAGAAAATATTTTGTACATTTTATTTGCTGCCGAGACAACTTTTAAAAAATGTTTCATTGGATTTCGAATAAACATTGAGTTGGTCTAATATTGATAGTGCAATCCAATCAATCTGATTTTCTTCGTGTGAACTTGTGTGTAAAAAACTTAATCAATAGCAAGCATTTCTTTTACATTCACTTATCGAAACAATGAGAACAGACAGACATAAAAAGAAAAAACTGTAAAAAAAAAATTTGCATGAAAAGAAGATTAAAAAAATCTTAAAATGAGAGTACACATGTCGTTTTTAGTCTGCTCATAAAAAATGAAGAATGTTACCTGAAAATCTGCATTTGTTTGCCATAACTGAGGGTTTGTGGAAACAAACAGTAATTTGTTTGTGTTTGAGATCGAAAGAATAGGTTGCAAAAAAGAGCGCATTGAAAATTTTTTGTTGAATTCAGTGATTATTAAAATTATTGATGAAATAATTTTCAGTATTTTACAAAAAAGAGATCAAAAGTACTAAACTGAATTTGAAATAAATACCTGGATCAGTAAGCAGAGCGAACTGGTTTTTTTTTGGATTGTGACTTCATAGAGCACAAAACACTTGCGCTGTTTCCTGGAATTTCCTCTGAAAGCTTCAGTTTTAGTTTGCGGCGGCTTAATCATGAGGCGTTGTTTTATTTGCGACTGTCCTCTACTCGATGTCTGAGCGTCTGCTGCAGGAATTAAGTGCTTTCCTGTAAGTGGATTGTATTAGGTTCCAAACCTGTCTAGGGGGCTTGTTGCTGACTAACTTGCCCGGTTATCTGACGATATCTTTTGTTTGCAGTAATCCGTGCTGATAGCTGTTGCGTGATACTACCGGCCTCTGACCAGAATCTGGGTCTAGTTTTGGCGGTGAATTTGCTGTGTGGAGGCTTGAAGTGTTTTGTCTTCAGTATTTTGTTGTTGTTTTTACTGTTTTGTTTGTCTAAGTTTATCCATGATGTCCTCGTGGTCATCTTTTGTGAAACAGTTGATGAGTTCTGCTGCATTGACATGTTCCGTTGGTGGATGCAAAAGCTAGGTGGTGGTGTTCTCCAAAATGATGAGTTTTTTTTTCATTTCTGACTCTGAGTCAGATATGTTGTAGTTCAAAGTGATGTCAGCAGTATTTTCTTTTGTGTTTGTCTGAATTGGATTTTTGAGGGAATGAATAACTTTTTGAGGACTGTTGTTTTTTTTGTCTCGCAAAGATAAGGCATTGTTGTTGATTGTCTTATAGGTCGCAGTAGTTGACGTTTCCATTAGTAGCTTTGACCTACTCTGATTTGTTCCTATCGGTTCTGCGGTAGGTAGACCTAAGCTCGAAGGACGCCAAGCGAAAAAAAGATTGGCTTTTAACCATTGTTTGAATAAGCTTGACAAAATAAAACAAGAAAACACAAAAATACTTGATTACAACACTGATAAATTGTTCTTATACCTACGACAGGTAGATAGAAATAAAATCAATCGGACGTAATAACAACGTCCTTTTACTATTCTGAAGTGCAATTTGTGTTCAAAAAAAAACATTTTGTTATTAAAATTCCTAATCAACTGCAATATTAGTGTCCGTTTAATGGCACCGAAGACAAAATTGTGCTGATGACAGCTGTATTAAGGTGCAGGGCTAAAGGCGTGCTTCCGTAGCTCCCTAATTGTGAACCATATAGAAAAAGCTGTAAGTTATCTAGTGTTTTAAAACTGATTGTCATTTCTAGCAATTTCTAACTTAATTTAATTTTCAATTATTTAACCACTATAAGTGGTTGCACGTGATTGAAATTTCAGTTTGGACTGATTTCAATTTTATGTTAGCTTAAATTCAGATTTGTTTTTCGATTTTTTATCCACAGAGTTTTCCTGACTCCATGTGAATAAGTTAAAATTGTCTTGGATGAATTACTATTGTCAAATTGGCAGATAACAGTTTGGTAGAGCTTGGAAAATCAATTTGGCCAACCTAAAAAAAGGTCGCCAACTTCTAGGGTCGGTCAGCTGAAAATTGATGCAGTAAACTAGTATCAAAGTGGAAGCATTTGGCCTGTGAGTTTTTTTTGAAAAACACCTCCTGCAGAAAGTTTCAGATCCGCGCCTGGTGGCGCGGTTACTACCACACGTTTGATTGGTTGGTTTTTTCAGCAGAAAACAAAACTCATTCGATCATACCATTTTTTCCACACTTTGAATAAACTTCAATGCTTCTGTTCCAACAACGGATTTTAATTATTGTTGAACTATGCTGATCAAAACGAGCTTAGATTACAAAAATATGGCTTTTTAGGGAAGCAAAAACGAAAGTTGGATGCATCTAGGGTTAGAAAACAACCAAACGATGATAATCACAGTTGAAATGAGATTGATTGATTAGGTCTGAAACCCCCTCGCCCAAGAAGAAAGGACGCGGACGGAAAGGAAGAGGCAGGAAGGGATCACGAGGCAGAGGAAAGGGGAGAGGAAAATAAAAGGGCAGTGTCCAGAAACATCAAAGTCATCAAATTTCGACCTCGGGGTTTTTACCTGGAAAAAAAAACACGAGCCTTCAATTTTTACGATCAATGATAATCGATAAAGTTTTAATTGAGTTATATGAAGTTTCAAAAAAAATTAATTAAAAGTATCTTATACAAGAGACAAAATTCGGATTTGAAAACATCTCTGAAAAAACGTTTTTTGTTCGGGGTTAGCTTACGATTATTTTAGCTTTTTTAAAAATTTTATTGCCATATTTTTTGAATTGCTTCCAACGGTTAAACACCAGCATGGAGGCTAAGTGTACCTTTATGAAGACTGGAAAAAAGTTAAGAATATAACGGTTAATTTATTAGTTTTTAATTAATTGAGACATCAATCAATTTCTGATGCAAATAGTGGGTGAAACTGCTCCTGTTTGGATGTTCAAAACAGTCGGTAATCTACAAGTCTTTTGGTTTGTTTTTTTTTCTCAGCTTTTTCCTGCGTACTTTGCTTGTTCCGTTGGTTTGGGTCTCAAAAGAATCCTTTGAACCGGTTTGACCTTTGGTTTGCAATCGAGATCTTCCTGTCCGCTTTATCTCTCAAGTCGTCAATCGACAGTTTCATCGCATCGGCGAAGGCCTCGAAGGTGATCTTTCCTGAAAAAAAAAAGTTTTCATCCAGAAAGCTGACAGAAGAAAATTGAACATTTTCTCCGCTTTTTACCATTTGTATCATCTCCTTTGTACTATTTTGAGATATTCATTTTTGGCTGACTGAATCTAAAACTTTTCTAAAGGTGCCTTGGGCGCCAAAATATACTAATTTTGATGGGGAGCGCGCTAAAAAAAACGGCAATTTTTTGTCAAAACCTTCCAACAGGAACGTAAAAACGCCTTCTTTGGCCTGTATTTGATCCGCCCCTGATCTGTAATAATCTTACATGAAATAGGACATCATGGTATAATCAAGAAGCGAATGTTTTGATTAGCAACTGCTAACTCCCTTTCGTACCCTGCTTCTGTAGCTACTTCAGTAATGAAAGTGATTCAGCCCTATCATAAATTTATTTCCACAACGAAAGAATTATTAGGGCTTTTACAAGCATTTAATTAGAGATATAGGCAGTGAATTGATTTAGATATTTAGTTAGTACCTTTTCTGTCGGTGTCGACTACGTGTAAGAACATCTCCAGTTCACTCTCTTTCATGATATCTGGCATCCGACACATCACATTTCTAAAATATACCTGCCCATGACTCATTTCAACTGGGCTGACCACGTGATCACTCAATATAATGAAGCATACCGGAATTTGAAGACATAAACTCAGAAGAAAAGCCAATAACTCGAATAAAAATAGAGCCCATAAAAATATTCTTAATTTTCTCGATTTGTATTTAATTCTGGAAATACCCGTTTGATTTATACCTCTTAAAAAACGCAAGTTTCAAAATTTCATCTAGATGAAATTTTTTGAAATTTGCGTTTTTTTTTGTTGTGTGGTGAAATATGTTACAATAATAACATAGTATTTTAAGACTTTTTGGCCGACGACCAACCCTGTTCTATGTTCAGATCATTTTGACGGAGATTGTTTTCTCGGAGAGTGACTGTTTGATCTGAGAGTTGGTTGGAGGAGAGTTACTTTTGCTCAAGATTTTTAATATTGAGATTGTAGAGCTTTACGGAGGAGAACTATCTTCACATAATTATCCGTGTCGTAATTTTGTACTAGCAAATCATGATGAGATTGAACTTCTAAAAGATTCTCAGACACAGCACAAAGAGAGTTCAACTCCACATAAGCAACAAAAAAGAAAGAGCTGAAATAGGTAATTTTTTTAAAGCTTTATTAATTATGGCTGTAAAGCTGTTTCGACAATTTTCTGAATTTATAAATAGCTTATTTTGGCTGAAGCTTAGCAGAACAATAACAAAACGTTAACAAAACACATCGGTCACGAGTAATTATTGACTGCCAAGTAATCCACCAAAACAAGCTTTTTCAATCTTTAAGTCAATCAGATCGTTTTAACTTTGCAACATACGCCTTTCTTAAAAATAAGATGATTAAAACATCTTATTAAAATTTTCTAACATAGATTGATTGCTATTGTAGCGTTATTTTTCCGCAAGAAATAATTAGCCACAGAAAACTGTCGAAAGATTTTTTAAAACTCATTTGTCAGTTTTTTTTGCATTTATTTTTTTCTGTTTCTTGCCCTTGTAGAAAAACTAAGTTAAAAGTTTTTCAAAAAAGATTTTTCGAATTTCCTTAGTTTTTCTTTGTTTTCAATTGCTAGATCTAATTCCTGAATGTCAACAAAGCAAACCGACTTCATATCAGCTCGGTTCGTTTATTGGAATGTCATGTGTCCACCCTGATTGTGATTACGCAAGCAGCTCTGACTGGTTTGTGATTATGCAACCACAGCAGGGGCCCATTGAAGCAATATTTCAAAATAATATTTGCAGTATCAAAATTATAAGTTATTTTACAAAGTTTTGTATTTACGCGGAGTGCATTGTGATCAAAACGAGTCCTTTTTTAAAACTTGGAATTTAAACATCAAAGTTATACCGCAAATGAAGAAAAAAGCATACCAAGGTTTAGTTTGCTTTAGACCAATTGAGTTTCTTATCTGTGAAAGCAAAAAAGGTACAAAAACGAAATAAACCAAAAATCAGTTGGGAAAATGAAACTTAAACATAAAATCTATAGCTCAAACAACTTTTCCGGCGGAAGCAAGGAAAAAAACAGGCCGTTGTTCGAAGTTTTTTTTCCAGAAAGGATAAACAAAGACTCATAGAGAACTTTAAAATACGTATTCAAGCATTCAATTGTTACTACACAAAACAAAATTGCTACCAAAAAAGCACACGAAATCGAAGTTTTAGCTGATCAACTTAAGGAAAAGCAATATGTACAAGAGAAACTTGGTTGAAGAAAAATCAATTAATTAGCCGTCTTCAATTGAATGAGGATCAAATTGTAATTGACTCTTCAAAAAAAGAGGTGAGGTAAGTATATTTTCGAAATACTCATTACATAAATCAAAAATTTATTGATAATTTTATCCAAATTCTGAGCATTCGTAAATTGAAAAAACATTATCGTTACATCAGACTTTTGTTTGCTTAGATGACTCTCGGCTGGAAGAGCTCGGAAGCCTTAGACAAGCTTCATAAACATTTAGATAAGCTTTTCCTTGATTCGCAGTCAAATCGGGTAATATGTGGTAATTTCAATATTGTTACAAGGAACAAAAACAAAAGAAAATAACGCTCATAGGGTTACTAGATAGTTTTGAATCATAACCGGGTTACTAAATACTTTTGATATAAATGTTGCCAACACCAATCAAGCGACCAGAGAAAGTATTATAAACAAATGGTGCATCGTTTTTTTTTCGCCATTGAACAGGTCAAACCAATTTACTTCGAACATCGGTAGGTGATCTTTTTAAGGTAATTGGTCTCTACATTAATAAAGAATCAAAGAAAACCATTCAGAAGCTTACCACTGGACACGGGAAAAACTACAAAACAATAACTTAGTTGAAGATCTCAGGGCCAGTCTTTGATGTGTCATAGATAAACTAGGTATTTATAAAGTATAGAAAAAAGCAACAGTCCCGATCAATTTAGTAACAAATTTTTCTCTGCTGATGATAGAGTCGTTAAAACAACTTCTTAAGGAATTAGTTTAAACGCAGATCACCAGGAAGTCTTAGAAGAATTTAATTTTGAATA